GTTCTAAGAAATAAAATGCAGGTGTGTGAATTAGACAATTGTTTAATGTTGAATTCTGTTATTTTAATTACTTTGTAACAGTCAAAATAGGCTGTTTTTTTCTTTAACATGAAATTTTGAAACAACAGTACTTAAGATTAATTAAATTAAGCTTAATTGTATTGCTTAAAATTGTTTTACATAATACAAATYGGCCCAATGGGCTTTCTGAACTTATGTGTTCTGCTTCAGGTGCTTCTATTTGACTTATAAGTTTTATGAATCCATTGCCATCTATAAAGTTCTATAAAGTTTATATGAAGCTTAAATCAATGTTATTTTTAAAGAGAAAAGCTTGGTTTTGTGCAGCCAGTTAACACCTAAACTTCTGAATTGTTAAAGAATTTTAGAAGCTTGGTGTTTTGTTCCTAACCTGTGTGTTTGTGTTTAATCACCCAGGACCGGACGCCCAGCTCCTCTCCAGAGGGAGCGCCTAACGCCCTCTCCTTCCTGGCCACCACCTGCAGCCAGGCCTGGCAGGTGGGGGGCACAATGGGCTCCGACGGCCCCCAGTTCCCGTACGAAGGCACCGTCAGCTCCACGTCCGGGATGTTTCAGCTATGGAGCAACGACATGACGCCCAGCTCGGCCCTCAGCACGCACCAGATGACCTTCACTGTGCCCAAGGTGCAGTTTCCTGGACACATGCAGTCTGGCCTGGGTCATCATCATCATCACCATCACCATCATCACCCCCATCATCACCGCCACGAGCTGCCTCTCACCCCTCCCGCTGAACCGGCGTCCTCCTACTCGTTTGAACTGTCGCCTGTAAAAGTGTTGTCCTCGCAGCCGCAGGCCAGCGGCCCTTACTATCCCCAACACAACGCCGTGGCGCAGAACTTCCCCAGCTTCCTCGAGAATTCCTCAGCCAGGCACCACCTGTCGGGGGGCCACGTGGAGGAAGGGCAGCAGTGGTGGAGTCTTCCACAAACCAATGCCACTCCTGCCAACCACCCCTTCACCCTGAGCAGACAGCTGGTGTTAGGTCACCAGCCTCAGATCGCTGCTCTCCTGCAGGGCACCTCCAAGGGGCTRCTGGGCTCCACGCGCCGCTGCCGCCGCTGCAAGTGTCCCAACTGCCAGGCCAACGGCGGCGGGCTGGAGTTCGGGAAAAAGAGACTGCACATCTGTCACATCCCAGAGTGCGGCAAAGTGTACAAGAAGACATCTCACCTGAAGGCGCATCTGCGCTGGCACGCCGGCGAGAGGCCCTTCATCTGTAACTGGCTCTTCTGCGGCAAGAGCTTCACCCGGTCGGACGAGCTCCAGCGGCACCTTCGCACCCACACCGGAGAGAAGCGCTTCGGTTGTCAACAGTGTGGCAAGAGATTCATGAGGAGCGAYCACCTCTCCAAACACGTCAAAACTCATCAGACCAGAAAGGGCCGGTCAGGACCGCCTGGTCCAAACCCAGACTCAATGCTCACCAGCATTAAAAGAGAATAATAAAAACAACACAAACTGTGGGATTCACGCTTACCGCCATAGATTTGCACTACAGGGTATGCATAAAGGTCCCTGACTTTTTTTTTCTTGTCAAAACCCATAGTAGAACCATAAGAAAATATTTGGTGAGTAAAATAATTGTGTGCTGTTTGAAGCAACGCACCTTTAAATAAAACTTGAAGCCTTTTTTTTTTTAGTAATGTTGTGAAGGTTTTGCTGCTTTCAGTGTGCTTTTCAAGAGATTTTACGTGGTAAAAAAACCTGACTGTCTGCCTTTCTCTGTGTAAAATTTATTTAAAATTTGACTGATGTGAAAATCTATTTTTGTCAAACTTTATGATGTAAATATTTGAATATGTTATCTGGGCTGATATGTCGAGCGTAAATGTTTGCCTTTAGTGCAGCTTGAGAAAAACTGATTTTCCTTTTGAAACAAGAATAAATGATGGTTTAGCTGTTGGTAATTATATTTTTATTCCAAAAATGTGTGCAGATTAATCTAACTTGGGTGAAAGATCTATGTGATCAGCCAGTTTTTCTGTCTTCTTCTTTTTTTCATCTCCCAAAAATCAGTGTGATGCACCATTCCTGCAGATTAGCCAACGTTTAAAGATTTAAAGTTGTTTGTAATATATGTATAAATAATTCAATTTGGTTTTTGGCTGCATGTAATTTTAATAAACATCGTCATGATAAAAAAGTTCCACTTTTTTCTAACATTTCCTCACATTCTGAAAACTGTTGGTACCTTTAAACATCCATTCAGATGCAGCAGTCTTACCCGAGTCATCCAACAAACGTGTTAATTTCTGCGCGTGCCCCCCTCAAAGCCTTTAAAATCTAACATTTTATTTAAATGATAAGTTGATTGCTTTCCAAATACAAATGCGGCTCATTGTTGACGGCGGTGTGGAGGAAGAAGCCCCTATAGGAGAGCCCAACAGGGTGGGCTGTTCAAAGATTTTCACACCTCAGAGTAAATAACTGGTCCCATTGACGGGGCTGTTTGTCTCGCCTGCTCCAATCAAGTTCACAGCCGTGTGGGTTTTAATGAGTGTTTTCTCTTTCTCCGTACAGAAGGACTGAGTCAACAGATGCAACAGAGGGCGGTGGAGAGGAATTCCCTGTGAATGGGACCCCTGTTGCCGAGACCCCCTCACTGGTGACAGGAACTCCCTTTGATTTTGCACCCTTGTGAAAGTTAATACCCGTCCCCGCCCCAAACCCTTCGTATGTCACAGCTGTGTTACGACGGGCCCTGGTTTACAGCCCAGAATGAGGCTTTATTCCGAGAGGCAGCCAGCCAGATGTCTGCTCATCCAGAGGTTTCTCCTCTTTGTTTTTAGGCCTGTTTGAACTTCCTCATGTGGGAAGTCTAAAACGAGCAAAATGCTTTATCCCACCCGCAAATTCTAAAGCTGATTGTGTGCATTTATTGAAGCACAAGTGTGGACTAAAAGAGTGAAACTACAAGAAAATGATTATGCCTACTAGAAGAAATGATGTATTCTCTGTAAATAAAGGAAAACTACATTTAGAACTTAAAACACCTGCCAAGTAAAATAAGGGGGGAGGAGGGTTATTGTGTATTTTCCAGGCACATCRTTCAGTTCYATACCATAATTAAMTTTGTTAMCTTCAGRYGTTATAAAAATGCTGTATATCAAAAATAAATTGGACTTSACATCTTAGTCTATCTWAAAACCTTGAAATTGGCCCATCTCTTTAAGAGCCTACCATTTCTGACACTCCCGCTTCAGCACGTCTTCACAGCAATGCTTCAGGTGAGGKGTGCTCTGTGGGGCAGGAGCTTGGCWCCSGACTGAGCTCCAAGGARGAGCTTTGCATAAATAGGCGGTACTTCGTACCAGCAAGCGTTTAGACAKCTCCACATGGCTTCCAGGAGATTCCTCAAACATGCACGAATGAGACAAAGCAACACTCTGTGTATGTTTTTCATGAGGGAATGACAAAGTAACATGACATGAAGCTCAAATACAGTTGATTTAGCATAATTTCTTCCCCTCTTAAACTTTTATTTTTATCTTCAAAATCGCTCAAACACAGAAACACTGCACTGAGTTTCAAAAAGACACTTTTTATTTGATATAATACAGCTCTGACAGGTCAGTTGTGGTTCTAACCGACTTCCTCTTGCTTTTGGTTCTCTGTAGAGGTATTCCTTTGTGTTTCATGCAGAACTGATAGATCGGTGATTTTCATGAGAACTCCATGTTAAATCACCCTGGAGTCAACTACAGGGGGGAAAAAATCTCAATTAAAAAAATTGTATTTAAAGTGATTTGTTTCACCTATTTTATTGTCTTTGGCCAAGTTATTGAGCAGTTTTAAGGTGAGATCTGAAATGTGTTTTATTTATTTATTTATTTATTTATTTATTTATTTATTTATTTATTTATTTATTTATTTATTTATTTATTTATTTATTTTTGGTGCAGCTATTACTGAAAGTCTTTTGGGGACCTCTAGTGGTCACAAATAGGAACATACCTGACAGGACAGTTCCTTCCATTCATCCATGCGTTTTCTATATCTGCTTCTCCTTTCCAGGTCATGGGGAGCTGGAGCTCATCTCCAGCAGTTACTGTGGGAGTGGTGGGTTACAYCCTGGACAGGTCTCCAGTCCATCACAGGGACACAAACAACCATCCGTTCTCTCACTTACCCCTAAGGACAATTTAAAGTGACCAAATAATCTAATGTGTGTGTTTTTGGTTTGTGAGATGAATCCCACATGTGCACAGGGTGAACTTGAACTTCACATAGAAAAGCCCCAGACTTCGAGGCGATCCTGCTAACTTCTTGTTGAGAGGCGACACTCCAACCACTGCATAACTCCGGCTCTGATCTGGCTGTAAAACTCAATAGAAATGCAGATATACCTTTGATTTGTAAGCATAATGACTGAACTAATCCATGAGAGCACTAAACATTTGAGGGATGAGCTGCGGTTGTTTTTGGCACCGTTTAGGAAGAAGGAGCATGCAATCAGCTGGAAATGCAACATTTCTTTGTATACCCAGGTGGTATATGCTGTACAGTATGTGGGGGGTGKGGGTCTAACAGAGATTATAGCAGAACCCTGACATGACAACAATAAAGCTATTCATATTAATTCAAATTAAAAAAAGAAAAAATATGTTCCCCATGTTCRAAAGCAACCAGCTTCTGTCTGTAAATAAGGATCTGTGTAAAGCAGAGTGACCGAGAAGCTGTTGGGTCAGCGCAGCAGGCCCTTTGGATGCATTCACAGCTCCTGAGGAGTTGCCTGAAGAGTAAAAAGCAATAAGAGGTGACGTCATACCCACAGAGAACCTCCGGAGAGGGGGWGCTCCCTCACCCCTTCTTGTCCAGATCAAAGCGAGGTCAGTCAAACAGAATATCGGAGCACGCAGGGGGCTCTCAGCACTGTGGCAACAAAGAAAGTTCTTCACCTTTACGTGAAATTTGAGCGAACAAAGTTCTTGTGAAGCTCACATCAAATGTTCTGCCTTTTTYCCCCATTCTCGTCGACATAAGGAGCAACCTCGGTTTTCAGCAGGGAATTTAAAAAAAGTCAATGTGGCTGATTTTGTTTTGATAAAGGGGCATCGGAACAACATTTCCAGAAAGACATTTCCTACAGGCTACAAGTCTTCTTGCCCACTTCCACGCGCACAAACACATCTGCTTCTTATTTCATACACTCAGGCACATGTAACTCCAGTGACTGCCCCAATTAGGAATGAAATCATCAAAAAAAACTCCTCTGTTCTTTGCGAAGAGAGAATACGAACTCTCTCCCTAAAAAAAAAAGAAAGAAAAAAAGACAAAAGGTAAAAAAGCAGAAGTTGCCATAACACAAAGTGTTTTCTAATTCTGAGCCTWGCAGCATCCTGCTGAGTGCTGTTCACGTTGGCTGAAGGTGATCAAGGCCACGCCGCCTCCCTTTAAACGCTCTCTGACAAAGGAGCCGAGCAGGTTTTAGATCTTCAGTCCACATTTCCTTCATATTCCTGCAGAAAYTGTGACTGAACCAGGTGAGGATCCAGTCTGGCATGAACAAACAGTAGACAAGAAGTCCTCACAGCTGTCAGCGGYTGTCCTCCCACATCCAGGACACATTTGTAGAGTTCAAAGGTCATCCTCGGCGAGCTGGGCAAGGTTGCTGGGCCGCCGTCCGGCTGATGGGCCTGACAGWGGAGCCTGGCTCCCAGCATCAGAGGCAGAACCTCTGCGGAATCCCTCTGCTGCCCTCTGCTGGGGAGACACCAAACATCTTTCCTTAAAAAACAAAATCTTTTAATCATTTGTCCTCTCATTGTAAAAAAAAGAGGTGCTTTATTTTTGTTTTTATGTGAACTTATTCTTGCAATTTCCTATTCATGCATTCAGTCATTTTAAAGTATCCACTCATCCTGTTGCTCAGAAATGATTTTCAGGTCCCTCCACTTGTTTATAAAATTTTAATAATTGTTCGTCTTATTTATCAGAATTGTTCTTACTTGTTGTCATTTATCTCTAAAACATATGTTCTGAGCCGGCATTGATTTATTGCAATAATCCTCATCTCTAAACTAAGGTACATGTGAGCGTTTTAATAGCTTCAACAAAATWTGTGAAATTCCACTGGTCCATGCATGTAAATACTAAAGCCCAAGTTTGGGAAGTCATTATTTGGACTTGATAGGCATCTCCCTGACTTCCCCATCAGACTGAGCCTATTTCCTGTTTGTTGTGTTTTAATATACAAAGACAGAGAACATGTTAGCAAAGACCTTCTGAGGAAAAGGACCCAGCGATGACAGAGAACCATGATGATGATGAAAAAATAATTACAGGATTGTTGGCGGTTTGTACTGTTCAAAATACAGTGTCTTACTTAGAAGTGATTTTGTCATTTTAACTATCCATGTCCCTCACAAATAGCTCCATTTTCTCAATTCCTTTTTCATCCAACAGGGGGAGAAAAAACTATTCGTATTACTCAACAACCTTCACTGAATGTGTTTAAAYAAATGATTAGAATTTTCTGAAGTTTTACATCTTTTAATTACCAATAATGTGCAAACTGGAAGTTTTGTTTGACATTGTTAAGAACTTGCAAAAAAGTATCTAGATGGTTTATTTCTTGTGGTCTAGTTTTYAATGAAGTGCTTTAGGTTCAATACACACTTGTATCGAACAATACAGATTTTAAAATTTACTTTAACAACTTGTCTTCTGAAGGTGCTCTGTGTTAAAGGATCAGTGGATCTGTGTTCGACTACTCCACCTAGGCTGCATTGTAGAGCACAGATCCACTGAGAAACTTGCTGTTTCAGCAACATTTAATTTAAAAACTGTACTTTTGTGGTTAAACAAATGTTCATAATTAATATAAATAAATTAGAAGTTGAAAGGGGCATGGAAATGTCTCTTTTTTGTATCGAAAAAATATTGAACCGTGAGACTAAAGTATTGAACCGAACCGAATCGTGAATTTTCTGTATTGTTGCACCCTCATCGATTACTTTTTTTTTTTTATTATATGTCAACTTTGTCTGTATATTTTATGTGTATAAATACATTTGAGTGTCCAAAAGGAAAGGAAAAATGTATTTCAGTCACAATTGCCTAAAAGGCTCATCTGCTACCATTTTTCATGCGAAATCAAATTGAAAAAATGAAATAGTCAATCTATGTATCTTTAATAACCACCTCACGTCATGATAAACTTGCTAGAAACATGAGGAATCATGATTTTGTTTGGAGACAAAAGAAAAGCAAGAAACAACTCTGCTTTCCTAATGTGTAAAAATTCCAACATTTGCAAAACTCACATAGATTGGAAACTGGTTACTGTTTTACTGTTACAACGTTTGCTTTATTCTGTAGGTAATATGATTTTTACATTGTGTAGCTATGCTAGCTGTACTTTAGCTACATGATCGTGAAGCTTTGGGGAAGAAGGTGGAGGTTTCTGGTTAGAATGTAAAACGTACTATCCTCTGAAATCCTCTGCACACTGCAGMTGTAATGCATGCAGATACACTACCTGTGCAGTCGGGTTGTACAGCCCGTTCGACACAGCTTGACAGTTTGGCTGATCAGTGAAGCCCAGGCGGATGTGCGAAGGAGAGGCAGTGTGGGAGTCAGCAGGGCATGGCTGGACCGCAGCGGCCTGCAGGATCAGGTGAGAACAGGTGAGCCACTCACAACCAGAATGCATGCACAAAACACAGTTTGCTGTTTTTTATTTTATTATTATTTTTTAATACTTTATTTCATTCGAACATCAATTAAAACAATACAAATAATAATAATGTTGCGTCAAAAAAACAACAACACACAACGCCCAAATGAAAAGGAGCAGAAAAAAGAAAAAAAATCTTGTAACATCTGCCCCCATTTAAAAATAATATATATATATATATATATACACAAAACATACAACATGCAGAAATTAAACTCAACTTTCACAGTATTGCTTAAAATAATAAACAAAAAACGTCACAGCAGAAATCTCAATTTCAACCAATACTTTGTTCATATCTCATTTAAAAAAAAACTTTTAAGCTTTCTACCAAATGAATAAATTGTTCCAGCATTTTTAAGGTCATTGTCCAAATTTTTCCACAGTTTAATTCCTCGAACAGAGGTGCATCACTCCCTCAAATTTGTTCTAATTTTTGGCTTTACAAACATTTCAAGTCCCTTCAAATTATAAACGCTATMCCTCTTAACAAAATTGGATTGAATATTAGGTGGCATTACATTTTTATGAGCCTTATACATAATCAACAGAATCCTATAATCTATCAATTCCTCAAATTTCAACAGTTCCAATTGCTCAAACAGAATATTTGTAGGGTGACAGTAGTGTTTTCTTGTTACAATTCTCACTGCACATTTTTGCAAAGTAAAAAGTGGTTTTGTAAATGTTTTACACGCACTCCCCCAGACCTCAACACAATAGGTCAAATGTGGCACAACTATAGCATTATATAATATAAGTAATGCATTATTATTAAATATGTCTTTGGCTTTATGCAATACTGCAGTTGATTTGGAAATTTTAGTTCTTAAGTAGTTAATATGGGGTCTCCATGTCAGATTTTCATCAGTAATAACCATAACCAATAACCATCTATTTTTACTGTACTTTTTCAACAGCTACAAGAGTGTGAGAAAAAGAAAGCAGTGTCTCAGATATAAGTAGCAATTCTGTGCTTGAGTGGGCAGGACGGTGTGGTTGTGAGCATTGGGGAGATCATACAGCTGAAGATACCTACATCCCTCAGTAACAGCATCTCACTGGGTCCTTGGCTCTGGCTTTGGCTCGGCAGGTAGAGGGCAGGCAGGGAGGTGTTGTGGGAGTGGAGGGATGGCAGCTTGTGACGGTCGATGGAGGCAGACGAGTGAGGCCGCAGGGCACTCKCAGCAGACAGAGGAGGCCTCATGCTGCGGCCCAGGCTGTTGGACTTGCTCTCTCGCCGCTGATACTCGATAGGTGACTGTAAGGCTGAGGAAGGAAAAGAACAACGAAACTGTTTCAAATTTCTACAATTCAAGTCTGAAACTTTTGTAAAAGCATTTTTTACTGTTTTGCAAGTAAATAACAACTTGCATTCYATCAAATTAAGGTATGTCAAAATGTTTGTTTTTAAAAAATGCATCTGTGTAATATATTATTTACAGATGAGAAACCACACAGAGTTATAAACACGTCTATAGTTAAAAACAGTTGATTAAATATTTAGTAAATGTTTTCTTATAAATGCAGCCATCAAAGACAGCATCTCGTTAGCATCAAATTCAAAATCATCATGAATTAAAAATTTAAAAACTCATTTGATGTTTTTAGAAAATGTTTTTGTTTATTACTGCAGTCAGTTTTAAATCACATATTAGAACATCAGGAGGGAAGGTGTATTCTAACACAAAGTTAAACTGTGACAAAAGTAAACTAAACCACATCATTTAGAATTTTTCCTAATTCTAATGATTTTGACCTGATTTTCCAAGATGCAAAAATTTCCACATTAAAAGAATACAATCTAAACAAAAAAATCAATTAGATCCTCTCAATCTGAAATAAATAAAAACTCAACAAAGTCAGAAAAATGTATTCTTCAGAGCATATGGCTTCGTCATACCATTGAGGAAGTTACGTTGACTTTCCAGAATCTGAAGCACGTCGTTGACCCACGCTGTGCAGGTATCTGGAGACGAGGTCTGCAGCTGGAAGCGCACCACGCTCCCATCCGGGTTTCGTGAGGTCAGCACAAAGCGCGTATTGTCTCCATCCACGCAGGGCTCCACTCCCAGGCAGCTCACCTGGAACACAACACATCTGACTAACACCTGGAGGAATTCATCCCGCTGGAATCCTCATTAAACAACACATGTGAGGTTTGAAGCTTCCCCCGCAGAGCCGTTACATAACCTGTTAATTCAGGCAGGAATAAGTTTGGTGTGAATCTGTTGTGTAACTTCTAACTTGGACTAAATTGCATTTTTGCATTTTCTCTGTCTTTTATTTTTCTACCACATCCTGCGTGGGGAAAAATAAATAATAATAAAAATGCACCTTGATGCTGTTTTTAAAGACGTATCCAGGGAGGGAGAAGCCTTTCTTCCTGTCAATGGGCTCGCTGAAGATGACCAGCTGCTCAAACAGAAAGACTCGTCTCTCCTTGGCTCGAGACAGGAAGCTGCTGTCCTGCTCTGTAACGGTGAAGGTGTCCTGCTGGAGCAGTTTGCCCTGGGCCGTGATCTTTCCCTGACACAGAAGCACAACAAACACAGGAAGTGGTCAGAGCGTGGCTAGACAGCCAGAGGGGTGGCTCTCTTATGAGGGCAACATACCTCAAAGCCTTGTAGTCTGCCCACATTCATCATGTCGTTGCAACGTTTTGGCACAAAGCACATCACTTCTACTGCTTTCTGTTTTAAAAAAAATTGTAGTTAAATGCACATGATGTACAACCTGAAACCTATCTATGCTTTAAGACACTCACCTCCAGCTCCTCTGTGTCCATCCCAGCTTTGGTGTAGTATTTTAAAAAGTCCTGTTGAAACAAACACGCTGTGGTCACCGGAGCATTCCAGATTTATTGCCGAGTGTGAGTCGTAGACATCTGGTGTTGTATTTATGGGTGCTGAACCCTTCGCCATTCATTAAACTGCTCAGGACAACGTTTTAAATCTGGGCAAAGTTTTATCCCAGGGACCTAATTTAATGATCCTCCTTCAAAGATGTTTACGTAATGTTGTTTAAACTCTTTCAGAGAGAAGGAGTCTCATTCTGAAATCTCCCTCTCTAAATGGAAAAGAAGCCCGAGCAGCACAGGTCCTCAGTGCAGGTCTGGTTTATACGTCTGTTTACACGAGCGTCCATGTTTACAGCTCCATGCCAGCCACTGCTGCGTGGGTATGTGTGTGTGTGTATGTGTGTGTGTGGTCCAGAAACACAGCGGCATCCTGTTTTCACACCTTGAGCAGAAGCTGGTACTTCATGATCCTCTGGACGGGTTTGATGAGCAGGTCATTGAGCTGCAGCCGGTGGCCCAGCTGCTGCCGGAGCTCCTGACAGCAAAGAGAGGAAGCATCAGTGAGCAGAACAACCACAGCTCACAACACATCATCTGATGGTCGACGCCGCAACAAACAGGAGCGCAGAGACACACAATCATTGCTGAATGTCACGCTTAAGCAGAAAAYGTCACTAAAACAGATAAGCTTCTATTCAGAACACACAAAAGTAGATGTCTCTCACCTCAAAGTACGTCTCGATATATTCTGAGACAATATGCTCTGATTTGGGCTTGTTCTGACAGTACACAACATACATATGGAGACGCCTCTCCTGCAACACAAGACAAACAAATATCACTTCATAAAATCACCTCTATCTTTTTTATAACAAATTAATCGGTACTAAAGTAGATTTAGAAAAAATAAAATAAAATGTGTCAAGCAAAATATATTAATTCTGACAAATGTTTCAATAAGAATGTTTTGCTGAATAAAATGTTCAAAAATTCAAGTAGCTTTCTTTGAAATAATGCATTTTGGGATAAAAATTTTAAAAGAAGATCTCTTTACCACCCCTCAAGATTTTAGCTAAATATTTGTAAAAAAAAAAAAAAGAAGTTTTAGACATTTCTGTGTTTGCTATAGTTGATTAGCTGTGTAAGCCGTCTTGAATCAGTTTCACTCTGAAAGTTATAGACATAAATGTATTTATTACTTTCTGAGAGTTTCAATAAAGCCTGTCCACTTGTTCATGAGATATTTTGCTAACAGACAAACAACTGAAAACACACACATACGTGATTGTTTGCTTTTTATGTTGGCAACAATAGTTCATTTCTGAACTTTCTTTTAATTTGCATTTAGAAAAATCTGCTATTTTGCCTGTAGTTTGTCAAAGTATTTTGTTTGTTTGTTTGTTTTAAAAAAACTGGTTTGTTGTGTAATGTTCTGTATTCAAAGTAGTGTTTTAATTGTGTTAGAATACTGTTTTATATAAACTTGTGGTACTTGTGGTGAGGTTAGCCTTAGGGTTGGTGGTCAGGGTTAGGGTTTGGGTTAGGGTTATGCTGTAGAAAATAATGGAAGTCAATGCCAGGTCCCCATAAAGATAGTTGTACCAGATTGTGGGTGTGTGTGAGYGTGTGGTAGCTGTTGGGGATGAAAGGAAGCAGAACAACAATGATTTGTCTCAGCTCCTTTGAAGCTGACTCTGTCTGGTAGCACCTACTCTTCTATAACTAATTGGCATGGGAGTGCAGATGTGGCGGTCCTCAGAGAACTAATGGCTCTACATGAAAATGAGCATCAGGTTTATGTATAATTTACTCGGGTCACTTTCGGAGTAACCAGAGCCTTTTACAGCGTGTCGATATCGGACTGCACCTAGCAACAGACTGCAGGGCTGCACGGCTGCGAGCACTGTTGAACACTGCTGTTGTACGAGGCAGTGTGCTGCATGTGTTTGACCACTGCAAAGTTGTGTCCACATGTGTTTATGTGCTGCATGTGGGTAAACAAGCACACATGTTGCATATTGGTGACACAGATCTTGTTAAAAGTGGATTCTGTTTCTCATTAAAGCCAAGTCTGCTTGTTGTTTGACCCATGTGCTTAGATTAAGTGCTAAGTTTCTTTTGTTCCTGAGGTTTTAATTTGGATTATCCAGTCCAATGAGCCTCACAGGGTCTTTTAGGGGGCAAAAACACACTATTGCAGTACTGTAAAAAGTTAAGGAGTTATTTAATGATAAAGCACTATTTAAACTATATAATGCAATTATCGTTCCGCATTTGATTTATTGTATAGAAGTCTGGGGAAATGCATGTAAAACAATTACTAATCCTATTTTTACTTTATGAAAAATGGCCATAMGAATTATCAGAAGACAGCATTACTATCACCCATCTAATATTTTGTTTCATCACTTAAAATTATTAAAATTTTATGAGTTGGTTGAATATTATATTCTGCAGGTTATGTATAAAGCTCATAAAAATGTGTTACCTTCAAACATCCAATCAAATTTTGTTAAGAAGGAAAGCTGCTATAATTTGAAGGGACTACAAATGTTTGTTAAACCAAAAATCTGAACAAATTCGAAGGACAGATGCACTTCAGTAAAAGGTGCACGACTATGGAATAATCTGGAAAAT